CTACGATATTTATCTATCTACATAAAAACATTCATTTCACAAAACACATTACATAGAAATATTCAACCGCGCTACCGCCGAAAAATATGGGGCAGGTGCTGGAACTAGAAAAGGTGGCATAGTAGTATTTATTTTTGAAATCAGATCCTAGTACTGACCTGTCTTTGATAGATTTAAAGTGCAAAATTAGAGCATCTAATCACGCAAAATTAAAATAAAGACGGAAAACAGAATTGCCACCCACTGCTTTCGTGAAATATCCGTCGTTAATCATGTGAGTGGCATCTACCAACATTTTCGTTGCATGAACCAAAAACCATACTGCGGGCTACCAAACTTTAGTCCCATGGTGAAATCACGTCTGCGGGGCCTTTTACTCTAGCAGCATTGAGCAAGACATGTTTTTCTCTCAACACACTCCATCTTTGGATGTTACGCGAAGAAGGGGAGTCGCGTTACAAAAATATCAATGTATTTTCTTGGCGGAATCAGCGAAGCGCGATGAAAAAGAAACATATGTTGTATGGAGTAGAAGTTCAGAACACATAGACGACGCAGATATCTGGCAACGGAACACCGCAACGCCGATGAAGCGCGACCGAGACTGACTCGACATCGAGTCCTATCGGGTGGTGCAGTTCTCATCAAGATAGGCCATCGTCTCTGCAGGCTCAGAACGGTAACTTGGCTTTGGACATTTCAGTGGACAGCGGCGCGAGCCAGAGCCTCGGCGTGCGCGGCGAAGTGGGCCGACTTGGCGGCGGCCACCTCGGGCGTGTCGGCCACGTAACCCGGGCCGGCCGGGCCCACCGGCAGGTTGGTGCCCGCCACGCGGAAGCCCAGCGCGTCCGAGACGTAGTCGACCTTCTGCGGCAGGCCGTAGGAGTCCACATAGCTGTAGGAGCCGCGCACCACGCCGTCAGCCGTCTTCACCTCGTTCTTGGCCGAGTTGATGTCGGCGTAACCATAGTTGTACTGACCCAGCTCGTCCTGCGAGTGGTGCTGCGCGCTGCTAGCCACAGGCGCGGCATAGGCGGTGGCCACAGGCGCGGCGTAAGCGGCAGCGGCAGGCGCGGCGTAGGCGGCAGCCACGGGGGCGGCGTAGGCAGCAGCCACGGGGGCGGCGTAGGCAGCAGCCACGGGGGCGGCGTAGCCAGCAGCCAGTGGAGCGACGCCGTACGAGCCGTATCTGGCGTAGGCAGGAGCGGCCGCAGTGAAGCCGTAGCTGAATCGAGCTCCGACGGCAGGTGCCACGTAAGAGGCACGCGCGGCCACGATCAGCGCACACACAATCTGAAACAGCAGCAGAGGCGGATGTCAGTGAATCGGTACCAGCAAGCGCTTTTGCCCGAAGCAAATGGCGGGAACTAAGAAGTGTAGCTAGTAGCCGTGTATATGAGTATAATTAAGAGGTAATGTAGTGGCACTGTACCTTGTGGATAAGGCACTTTTGCACATTTGGTGCGGAGCGTCAACTATGATTGAATGTTCTTCAGAGGGCTTAACAGTCCTCAAAAACTAGTTTGCACGAATTGGTTTGAGCCAAGCATATGTTATAAACTGATGTGGATTAGGGCAATGCAAGGTTTTGCAAGCTGCGCAGGTCTTAATTGCAGTACCACATCTCTGAGCTGTCTAAGTCGTCTAAATCTACCTTGTGTAGCACCGCCCCACAATTGCTGGCGAATTGTCGCCCGGCATGACGGCGGTGTGCGGTCTGATCGCTCCCACTCACCAGGGCCCGCATGATGTCTGACAGAGGAGGTCTTGCCGTGAGGAGTGGCTGCTGTCGGCGCCGGCGCCGTCTTTATAGTGCGGCCGGTGCCGGCCTCGCCCGTGTGTGGCCCTGGCTGACGCACGCAATACACGTGCTCTCATTACAAGGCAGATGCCATTTGCCATGCTAGTCTTTTGAACAAAATGGAGCGGACAAGAACATCATTCAGCTTGACCTGGTGTAAGCGCGTGTCACATTACTTAACAGCAAGTAAAAGTGGATTTGAGTCATGATTATAAATGCCATGTGAACGTACCATAAGTAGTGGCGAAATCTACGCATATTGTGAACTGATTCTGACAAATCTTACGCTGTGATTCCCACTGTTGTGACATAAATGGTTAAGTGGCTATCCATGAAATCTACCCGACGCGCGGTCTCACCTTAGTCATCGTTGGCAAGCGGTATTAATTATTTAGACCTGATTAATTTTGACACCCACAGCAAACCCTGCCCGCTCTGACGTATAAACTGGAGCTCCCTGCGTCCTTGCCTCCCGAATTGCTTCGTGAATGTCTGAACGGATATTTATTGAAAGTCACATGCTTCCCTCACCATCCAGAATCTCCTGAAGTGCCCATGTACTCAGAACTGCCATATCACTAGAACCATACTTGACTTGTTCTACTACAACTAGTAACACCAACACTGAATTTGATAGCACTTGCAGAGTCATACACTATTCAAAATTGTGTTAAGAAGAAACGCATGCCTCTTTGAAAGCTGAAGGCTGGATTCCAGGATGTTATATGGTGATGACTGCATCTAAGATGTGGTGTCTGCATTCGTTGATTTCAAACCTTTCACGCGAGAGCATTTCTTACAGCACGCTACGTCATACAGAAACACTTCATCAAAAAGCTTGAGTGCAACGGCAAAAGTCTTGCCAAAAAACTTGAGTGCAACGGCAAAAAAGCTTGCGTAGCCTTGACACCTTGAGACTGAATGCAAGTAGAATATACACGTAGAGCATCGTGACTCAGGCTCTGTGCTGGTGAACCACAGCTCTATGCTGACGAACGTTGGAAACACGTTTGATTTTATCTTAATTGCCAGCGATTTTGTGTCATACTCATGTCATGTTTCATAGATAACTACCACAAAATACCTTCTACAGTCAGGTGATTGTGACGACTGGCTTTCCTATAGTGTTATAGCTTGGCCAATGTATAGTTTTCCCTATTCGAGTGAGATCGCAACGTGAAAAGTCGTCAATTGCCAAAAGGACAGCTGCACAGCACGTATCGAAACGGAGCAACATGTCGAAGAGCCGGTGTTGCAGAAGGTTCAGGCCATCACATTTTGATATGCGATGATAACGCCAGCAAAGTTATTCAATACTACATTTGTTCGTCCAAGAAGACAAACAATTACGTGGAGAAATGAACCCTCGTCCTGATTCACCATTTTGCATAACACGGACTCATAGGGGGATAAGAGGTTATGCGTCACCACCCTGGCGATTCCAAACTAATAGAACTGTGTCATAAAAATGTCAGTGGATCTTTTTTAACGAGATCTCGCCCTTGTTGCCAGTTCTTGTGGTGTTAAGTTAATGAATGATTCCAATATGGCAAATCAAAGGCCGAGTTTTGGGGAAAATCGCAATTTTTCAGCATTCACAACCTCAAACCTACGAAACCGTGCCTTTTGGCGACACGTAACTGATGCGGACATGTTGTGTTCGATTCTGAATGGAATTGATGCATTTTTTATGTCTTTACAGCATGCATCTATAATATATGGCTCTTTCGATGTAATAATGTTGGCGTGCTGCGTGCGCACCGCGTCATCGTCGGTTGCCGCCCGCTGCCCGCGCCAGCCGTCGATCGCCGTGCAGTGACCGTTAAAAACCACCGTTGCTCCGAAACCAGAATAGCTAGCAACACGTTTTTGGTGTCCGAACACGCGCAATGCAGGTCACATAGGCTTCTGAAAATGTAGGTCCTTTTGCTCAGCATGACTGAAAGATACCTCAATAAAGCGTTAAAAACGTCGGGAGGGGTTGCATTATCCCCCCCCCCCTCTCTACCCGGGCGAGGGTTAAAGTGTGCTACCATTCATGCGGAGCAGAATGTGAACTGTCAGTCTTTGCTTTTGCTTTAGGAAGGATTGAAATCGAACGACAGCAAGTGGAGCGCAAATTAATACCCAGACTAACTGTACATTAAAGGCCCTGTAGGCGAGTTTAGCGCTGATAGGTGACCCATGAAAAGCACAGGCACTAACACTCACTTGTTAGGGCCTGTTCCCGGTTTTGAGGTGTCGTGGGTGGTCTTTGGTACTGCACTGCTTCCTGCACTTAAAACCGGCCTGACTGACGGAAGAAACGTAAAGTCAAGTAAAAAAAAAACACAACGACCGCTGGCAGAATAACAACATGATACAGATGACACAGCAGAGTAAGCCCTCTCTCTTCAATGCAAGAATAGCGGCGGACACGTCTGATGGCAATAAAAACGTCGGCAAAGTTAGCCTTCCCGGAGGAGTGCAGTTGTTTTTCCAAACGCATTTCATAGGCGTTTCGTGTGTGCATAACTTTGGTTGCAACGACCGTAATGCGATTATACCTAGAGTGCTTTGATTGCTGTGAGCTGATGTAGACATGAATTTATGAAATAGAAGTATGTCAGTTGTTAAGTGCATTCGCGAGAAACATTGCGCACGTAGATAAAGTAGTATCATCAGCCCTGTTTCTGGAATAAAGCCAGGGGAATAAAGATATAGATTCGCCGATATTTGGGCAACATGCGTTTATCAAAACGAGCAGGAGAAGTGAAGTGACTTCTGCAAATCGTGTCGATAAAGCCGTGTTGCTTAAATAGGAATGGATCTATATCCCCATTCTCCGGGTGTTTCTTTAAGGAATCAGGATATCACTAATACCTTAACCCAAAATGTGATTAATACCGTAATTATCTGCAGATCTAAGCCTTTCGTCTTCATTCATATGCTACAAAAAGAACAAGATTCGTTTTCACCACAGCACAAATGTATTTTCGTTGAGGCACCAACAAACCACGATGAACCAGGGACATATGGATCGGGGTCGATGCTCCTCACATATAGAACAATGACGCAGACAAATGACAACGAAGCACCGCCACGCCGATGAAGCGCGACCGAAACTGACTCAACATCGAGTCCTATCGACTGGTGCAGTTCTCCTCACGGTGGGCGACCGTCTCTGCAGGCCCAGAAGGGTAACTCGGCTTTGGACATTTCAGTGGACAGCGGTGCGAGCCAGAGCCTCGGCGTGCGCGGCGAAGTGGGCCGACTTGGCGGCGGCCACCTCGGGCGTGTCGGCCACGTGACCCGGGCCGGCCGGGCCCACCGGCAGGTTGGTGCCCGCCACGCGGAAGCCCAGCGCGTCCGAGACGTAGTCGACCTTCTGCGGCAGGCCGTAGGCGTCCACGTAGCTGTAGGAGCCGCGCACCACCCCGTCGGCCGTCTTCACCTCGTTCTTGGCCGAGTTGATGTCGGCGTAGCCGTAGTTGTACTGACCCAGCTCGTCCTGCGAGTGGTGCTGCGCGCTGCTAGCCACAGGCACGGCATGGGCGGTGGCTACAGGTGTCGCATAGGCGGTGACCACAGGCGCGGCGTAAGCGGCAGCGGCAGGCGCAGCGTAGGTAGCAGCCACGGGGGCGGCGTGGCCAGCAGCCACGGGGGCGGCGTAGCCAGCAGCCACGGGGGCGGCGTAGCCAGCAGCCAGTGGAGCGACGCCGTACGAGCCGTATCTGGCGTAGGCGGGAGCGGCCGCAGTGAAGCCGTAGCTGAATCGAGCTCCGACGGCAGGTGCCACGTAGGAGGCACGCGCGGCCACGATCAGCGCACACACAATCTGAAACAGCAGCAGAGACGAATATTGGCAAATTGGCATCAGCAAACGACTTTACCAAAAAGCAAATGGCGGGAACTAAGCAGAGAAATCAGTAGACGCGTAAGTGGATGTATTCAAGAAGTAGCGTAGCGACAATGTCCCTGTGGATAAGATGTTTCTGCACATTCAACGTGAAGAGTCAACAAGTTTGGATGTTCTTAAAAGAGCTTCATATGCGTCTGGAATTAGTTTACACGGATTGCTTTGAACCAATGATGCGCTATAAACTGATGCTGGATTAGGCAAATGAAAGGCTTTTCAGGTTTTGTGCATTGTACTAAGTCTTAATTGCGATGTCACAGATATGAACAGCTTACTTTTGCATGTTTGGCGCGGAGCGTCAACTAAGTTGGAATGTTCTTAAAAGAAGTTAACATGCATCTGGAATTAGTCTACACGGATTGCTTTAAGTTAACCATGCATTGTCAAATTATGCTGGAGTAGGCAAATAAAAAGCTTTGAAGGTTTTGTAAATTGCACGAGTGCTAATTGTGATGCCACAAATACGAACAACTTAAGCCCTCCAACGATGTTTTGCATAGCACGGCCTTACAGTTGCTGGCGCATTGTCACCCGGCATGACGGCAGTGTGCGGTCTGATCGCTCCCACTCACCAGGGCCTGCATGATGTCTGACAGAGGAGGTCTTGCCGTGAGGAGTGGCTGCTGTCGGCGCCGGCGCCGTCTTTATAGTGGGGCCAGGGCCGGCCTCGCCCGTGTCTGGCCCTGGCTGACACACGCAATACACGTGCTCTCATTACAAGGCGATGGCCATTTGCCATGCTAGTCTTTTGAACAAACTGGAGTGAACAAAAACGTCATTCAGCTTGACATGAGGTTAGTGCGCATCATATGGACCAACAACAATTGAAAGTGTTTAAACTCATTATTACAAAGTCTTGTGGGCATGCCACTAAGTTTTGCTGAAGTCTTTGTATCATGCGGCCAGATTTTGAAATGCTGTTATTCCCATTGTTGTGGGCTCAATCTTTTTGTGGCTATCCATGAAATAGCCACTAAACGATCAGCTACCAGACGTGCAGTCGATCCTTGGCCATCATTTACTAACTGTACTAACTCCTTAGTCTTAAGTAAATTGTGATGCACACAGCAAACGCTGATTGCTCTGACGCATTGACTTGGGCCTCCTGCGTGCTCGCCTCCTGAACTGTCTTATGCATGTCTTGACATATATTTATTGAACCTTGCAGTGCTCCACTTGCCATCCGAAATATTCTGTAGTGCCCATGTGCTCGGAACAGCCCTATCAGTAGAACAATACGCCACTTACGCTATTATAGCTGATAACCCCAGCACGGAATCTGATAGTACCTGCAAAGTGACCACAATTCAAAAGCGTGTTAAGACAAACCGCATGCATTGTTCAGACCCGAAGACTGGATTAGAGGATGTTATACTGTAATGACTGCATTTAGGATTTCGTTCTCCCACTGGTTGAATTCATGTATGTTCGCGCGAAAACGTTTCTCTCGGCACGACACGTCAAACAAAGGCACATTCTCAAAAAGGTGAAGTGCAACGGGCCAAATATCTTCACGTCTACAAAACAAAGGTCCACATTAAGAGTAGGTAAAAGAAGAATGTACACGTAGAACATCGTGAGTTGGTTCCTCTGCTGGTGGATCACTGCTCTCAACTGACAAATATTTGAAGCGTAACTCCCACTTTTTTCATTGCCGGCGGCTCTGTTTCCTATGTATGTCATAGTTGAAGCAAAAATATAGCAAAAACATTTGTAACGGCTGCCTGATCGCCACGATGGCTTTTCTTTCACGTTATATCTTGAGTAATGTATAGGTTTCTCTATTCGCGTAAGATCGCAACATAACAAGTCGCCAAGTGCAAAAAAACAAAACAAAAACTGTACAACACCTATCGAAACAGGGCAAGATGTCGAGGAGCCGGCATTGCAGAAGTCCCAGGCCAGCACATTTTGTCATTCCATGACAACGGCAAATAAGTTATTCAACAGCACAAATGTTTGTCTCAGAGTGCAAACAACTTAATGGAGAAAGTAATAGTAGGACAAACGTCGAATTTTCGGGAAAATTGCAATTTTTAAAGCTTTACAACATCACATCTACGAGACCGTGCCTTCTGGCGACACGAAAATTAAACAGACGTGTTCAGTGCCTGATTCAGAATGGGATGCATTTGTTTATGTCTTTTGAGCATACATTTATGATATATGGCTCTGTCAATGAGGCAATGTCGGCGCAGCGCGCGTGTGCCGCGGCATCAGGGCCGCCCACCGCGCGCACCAGCCGCAGATAGCCGTGCAGTGTTGCTAAATTAAATCGCCGCTGCTCCAAAGCTAGAAAAGCTAGACACGCATTTTTGGTGTCAAAACACACACAATGTATGTCCCATAGGCCTCCGAAGGTGTCGGTCATTTCGCTCAGAATGCCTCAAGGGTACCCTCAAAAACCTTAATTAGGGGTTGTATCACCCCTCCCCCCCCCCCCCTAATATCAGAGCGAGTGCCAAGGTGTTCACCATTAATGCAGAGCCGAGTGTCAACTGTCCCTGTTTGCTTCGAGTTTCAGGAAAGATTCATTTTGGATCTCACCAACTGGCCTGACTGACAGAAACCCAAAGTTAAGTTAAAAAAGCAAAAAACCACCCTTGGTAGAGCCGGGCAGCCTTCCTCTCTCTAATGCAGTGATAGCGGCGGGCATGTCGGGTGACAATGCAAAACATTGCTGCCGAAAGTGTCCTTTCCCCGATGAGTGTAGTTGTATTTCCAGAAGACGCTATGCAGGTGCTTTACGTGTACGTAACTTTTACTGGGATGAACACATTACGGTTATACCTAACATGCTGAAATAACTGTGAGCTGCGGAAGCTGTGAATTTTTTGCTAGAAATGTGGTTCCTGGCCCACGTTTTCCGCGGATCCAAGTCTTTCGGCTCCATTCAAAAGTCACACAAAGAAGGAGATTCGTTTTCACCACAGCACAAATGTATTTTCTTTGAGGCACCAACAAAGCACGATGAACCAGGGACATATCGATGGGGTCGATACTCATCACATATAGAACAATGACGCAGACAAATGACAACGGAGCACCGCCACGACGATGAAGCGGGGCCGAGACTGACTCGACATCGAGTCCTACCGGCTGGTGCAGTTCTCCTCACTGTGGACGACCGTCTCTGCAGGCCCAGAAGGGTAACTCGGCTTTGGACACTTTAGTGGACAGCGGCGCGAGCCAGGGCCTCGGCGTGCGCGGCGAAGTGGGCCGACTTGGCTGCGGCCACCTCGGGCGTGTCGGCCACGTAACCCGGGCCGGCCGGGCCCACCGGCAGGTTGGTGCCCGCCACGCGGAAGCCCAGCGCGTCCGAGACGTAGTCCACCTTCTGCGGCAGGCCGTAGGAGTCCACATAGCTGTAGGAGCCGCGCACCACGCCGTCGGCCGTCTTCACCTCGTTCTTGGCCGAGTTGATGTCGGCGTAGCCGTAGTTGTACTGACCCAGCTCGTCCTGCGAGTGGTGCTGCGCGCTACTAGCTACAGGCGCGGCATAGGCGGTGGCCACAGGCGCGGCATAGGTGGTGGCCAAACGCGTGGTGTAAGCGGCAGCGGCAGGCGCAGCGTAGGTGGCAGCCACAGGGGCGGCGTAAGCAGCAGCCACGGGGGCGGCGTACGTGGCAGCCAGGGGAGCGACGCCGTACGAGCCGTATCTGGCGTAGGCGGGCGCCGCCGCAGTGAAGCCGTAGCTGAATCGAGCTCCGACGGCAGGTGCCACGTAGGAGGCACGCGCGGCCACGATCAGCGCACACACAATCTGAAACAGCAGCAGAGGCGGATATCGGCGAATCGGCACCAGCAAGCGCTTTCGCCCAAAGTAAATAGCGTGAACGAAGCAGTGTAGCTAGTGGGCACGTATACGAATATGTTTAAGAGGTAACGCAGTGACAATGTGCCTTGTGGATAAGGTACTTTTACACATTTGGTGCGGAGCGTCAGCTATGTCTGAATGTTCTTAGAAGGGCTTTACCGTCCTCAAAAACTAGTTAGTGACTACAAAATTACAAAACCTAGTAACTAGTACACGGATTAATTTGAACCAATCATGTGTTATCAAATGATGTCGATTAGGCCAATGGCAGGTTTTGTAAGTTGCGTGGGTTTTAATTGCAGTACCACATCTCTGAACTGTCTAAGTCTTGTAAAGCTGCCTTGTGTAGAACCGCCTCACAGGTGCTGGCGTATCGTCGCCCGGCATGACGGCGGTGTACGGTCTGTTCGCTCCCACTCACCAGGGCCTGCATGGTGTCTGACAGAGGAGGTCTTGCCGTGGGGAGTGGCTGCTGTCGGCGCCGGCGCCGTCTTTATAGTGCGGCCGGGCCGGCCTCGCCCGTGTCTGGCCCTGGCTGACACACGCAATACACGTGCTCTCATTACAAGGCAGAGGCAATTTGCCATGCCATCCTTTTGAACAAAGTGGAGCGGACAAGAACATCATTCAGCTTGACCTGGTGCAAACGCGTGTCACATTACTTAACAGCAAGTAAAAGTGGATTTGAGTCATGATTATAAATGCCATGTGAACGTACCATAAGAAGTGGCGAAATCCACGCATATTGTGAACTGATTTTGACAAATCTTACGCTGTGATTCCCACTGTTGTGGCATAAATGGTTAAGTGTCTATCCATGAAACGTCTACCCGACGCGCGGTCTCACCTTAGTCATCGTTGACAAGCTGTATCAATTATTTAGACCCAATTAATTTTGACACCCACAGCAGACCCTGTCCGCTCTGACGTATAAACTGGAGCCCCCTGCGTCCTTGCCTCCCGAATTGCTTCGTGAATGTCTGAACGGATCTTTATTGAAAGTCACATGCTTCCCTCACCATCCAGAATCTCCTGAAGTGCCCATGTACTCAGAACTGCCATATCACTAGAACCATACTTGACTTGTTCTACTACAACTGGTAACACCAACACTGAATTTGATGGCACTTGCAGAGTAATACACTATTCAAAATTGTGTTAAGAAGAAACACATGCCTTTTTGAAAGCTGAAGGCTGGATTCCAGGATGTTTTATGGTGATGACTGCATCTAAGATGTGGTGTCTGCATTCGTTGATTTCAAACCCTTCACGCGAGAGCATTTCTTACAGCACGCTACGTCATACAGAAACACATCATCAAAAAGATTGAGTGCAACGGCAAAAAACTTGCAAAAAAATTTGAGTGCAACGGCAAAAAATATTGCGTAGCCTTGACACCTTGAGACTGAATGCAAGTAGAATATACGCGCAGAGCATCGTGACTCAGGCTCTCTGCTGGTGAACCACAGCTCTATGCTGACGAACGTTGGAAACACGTTTGATTTTATCTTAATTGCCAGCGATTTTGTGTCATGCTCATGTCATGTTTCATAGATAACTACCACAAAATACTTTCTACTGTCAGGTGATTGTGACGACTGGCTTTTCTCTAGTGTTTTAGCTTGGCCATTGTATAGTTTTCCCTATTCGAGTGAGATCGCAACGTAAAAAGTCGTCAATTGCCAAAAGGACAGCTGCACAGCACGTATCGAAACGGAGCAACATATCGAAGAGCCGGTGTTGCAGAAGGTTCAGGCCAGCACATTTTGACATGCGATGATAACGCCAGCAAAGTTATTCAACACTACAGTTGTTCGTCCAAGAAGACAAACAATTACGTGGAGAAGTGAACCCTCGCCCTGATTCACCATTTTGCATAACACGGACTCATAGGGGGATAAGAGGTTTTGCGTCACCACCCTGGCGATTCCAAACTAATGAAAATATGTTTCATAAAAATGTCAGTGGATCTTTTTTAACGAGATCTCGCTCTTGTTACCAGTTCTTGTGTTGTTAAGTTAATGAATGATTCCAATATGACAAATCAAAGGCCGAGTTTGGGGGAAAATCGCAATTTTTCAGCATTCACAACCTCAAACCTACGAAACCGTGCCTTTTGGCGACACGTAACTGATGCGGACATGTTCTGTGTACGATTCTGAATGGAATTGATGCATATTTTTATGTCTTTACAGCATGCATCTATAATATATGGCTCTTTTGATGTAATAATGTTGGCGTGCTGCGTGCGCACCGTGTCATCGTCGGTTACCGCCCGCTGCCCGCGCCAGCCGTGGATCGCCGTGCAGTGCCCGTTAAAAACCACCGTTGCTCCGAAACAGAAAAGCTAGCAATACGTTTTTGGTCTCCGAACGCGCGCAATGCAGGTCACATAGGCTTCTGAAAATGTAGGTCCTTTTGCTCAGCATGACTGAAAGATACCTCAATGAAGCGTTAAAAACGTCAGGAGAGTTTGCATTATCCCCCCCCCCCCCTCTACCAGGGCGGGGGTTAAAGCGTGCTACCATTCATGCGGAGCAGAATGTGAACTGTCAGTCTTTGCTTTTGCTTTAGGAAGGATTGAAATCGAACAACAGCAAGTGGAGCGCAAATTAATACCCAAACTAATTGTACATTAAAGGCCCTGTAGGCGAGTTTAGCGCTGATAGGTGACCCATGAAAAGCACAGGCACTAACACTCACTTGTTAGGGCCTATTCCCGGTTTTGAGGTGTCGTGGGTGGTCTTTGGTACTGCACTGCTTCCTGCACTTAAAACCGGCCTGACTGACGGAAGAAACTTAAAGTCAAGTAATAAAAAAACATCAACCGCTGGTAGAAAAACAACATGATACAGATGATACAGCAGAGTAAGCCCTCTCTCTTCAATGCAAGAATAGCGGCAGACACGTTTGATGGCAATAAAAACGTCGACAAAGATAGCCTTTCCCGGAGGAGTGTAGTTGTTTTTCCAAACGCATTTTATAGGCGTTTCGTGTGTGCATAACTTTAGTTGCAACGACCGTAATGCGATTATACCTAGAGTGCTTTAATTGCTGTGAGCTGATGTACATATGAAGTTATGAAATAGAAGTACGTCAGTTGTTAAGTGCATTCGCGAGGAACAATGCGCACGTAGATAAAGCAGTATCATCAACCCTGTTTCTGGAATAAAACCAGGGAAATAAAGATATAGATTCGCCGATATTTGAGCAACATGCTTTTATCAAAACGAGTAGAAGAAGTGAAGTGACTTCTGCAATTCGTGTCGATAAAGCCGTGTTGCCGAAATAGGAATGGATCTATATTCCCATTCTCCTGGTGTTTCTTTAAGGAATCAGGATATCACTAATACCTTAACCCGAAATGTGATTAATAATGTCATTATCTGCAGATCAAAGCCTTTCGTCTTCATTCATATGTTACAAAAAGAACAAGATTCGTTTTCACCACAGCACAAATGTATTTTCGTTGAGGCACCAACAAAGCACGATGAACCAGGGACATATCGATGGGGTCGATACTCATCACATATAGAACAATGACGCAGACAAATGACAACGAAGCACCGCCACGCCCATGAAACGCGACCGAAACTGACTCAACATCGAGTCCTATCGACTGGTGCAGTTCTCTTCACGGTGGGCGACCGTCTCTGCAGGCCCAGAAGGGTAACTTGGCTTTGGACATTTCAGTGGACGGCGGCGCGAGCCAGAGCCTCGGCGTGCGCGGCGAAGTGGGCCGACTTGGCGGCGGCCACCTCGGGCGTGTCGGCCACGTGACCCGGGCCGGCCGGGCCCACCGGCAGGTTGGTGCCCGCCACGCGGAAGCCCAGCGCGTCAGAGACGTAGTCGACCTTCTGCGGCAGGCCGTAGGCGTCCACGTAGCTGTAGGAGCCGCGCACCACCCCGTCGGCCGTCTTCACCTCGTTCTTGGCCGAGTTGATGTCGGCGTAGCCGTAGTTGTACTGACCCAGCTCGTCCTGCGAGTGGTGCTGCGCGCTGCTAGCCACAGGCGCGGCATAAGCCGTGGCTACAGGTGCCGCATAGGCGGTGGCCACAGGCACGGCGTAAGCGGCAGCGGCAGGCGCAGCGTAGGTAGCAGCCACGGGGGCGGCGTAGGTAGCAGCCACGGGGGCGGCGTAGGTAGCAGCCACAGGGGCGGTGTAGGCAGCAGCCACGGGGGCAGCGTAGCCAGCAGCCACGGGGGCGGCGTAGCCAGCAGCCAGGGGAGCGACGCCGTACGAGCCGTATCTGGCGTAGGCGGGCGCCGCCGCAGTGAAGCCGTAGCTGAATCGAGCTCCGACGGCAGGTGCCACGTAGGAGGCACGCGCGGCCACGATCAGCGCACACACAATCTGAAACAGCAGCAGATACGAATATTGGCAAATTGGCATCAGAAAACGCCTTTACCAAAAAGCAAATGGCGGGAACTAAGCAGAGAAATCAGTAGACGCGTAAGTGAATGTATTCAAGAAGTAGCGTAGCGACAATGTCCCTTGTGGATAAGATGTTTCTGCACATTCAACGTGAAGAGTCAACAAGTTTGGATGTTCTTAAAAGAGCTTCATATGCGTCTGGAATTAGTTTATACGGATTGCTTTGAACCAATGATGTGCCATAAACTGATGCTGGATTACGCAACTGAAAGGCTTTTCAGGTTTTGTGCATTGTACTAAGTCTTTATTGCGATGTCACAGATATGAACAGCTTACTTTTGCATGTTTGGCGCGGAGCGTCAACTAAGTTGGCATGTTCTTAAAAGAAGTTAACATGCATCTGGAATTAGTCTACACGGATTGCTTGAAGTCAACCATGCATTGTCAAATTATGCTGGATTAGGCAAATAAAAAGCTTTGAAGGTTTTGTAAATTGCACGAGTGCTAATTGCGATGCCACAAATACGAACAACTTAAGCCCTCCAACGATGTTTTGCATAGCACGGCCTTACAGTTGCTGGCGCATCGTCGCCCGGCATGACGGCAGTGTGCGGTCTGATCGCTCCTACTCACCAGGGCCCGCATGATGTCTGACAGAGGAGGTCTTGCCGTGAGGAGCGGCTGCTGTCGGCGCCGGCGCCGTCTTTATAGTGCGGCCGGGGCCGGCCTCGCCCGTGTGTGGCCCTGGCTGACACACACAATATACGTGCTCTCATTACAAGGCGATGGCCATTTGCCATGCTAGTCTTTTGAACAAACTGGAGTGAACAAAAACGTCATTCAGCTTGACATGAGGTTAGTGCGCATCATATGGACCAACAACAATTGAAAGTGTCTTAACTCATTATTTCAAAGTCTTGTGGGTATGCCACTAAGTTTTGCTGAAGTCTGTGTATCATGCGGCCAGATTTTGAAATGCTGTTATTCCCATTGTTGTGGGCTCAATCTTTTTGTGGCTATCCATGAAATAGCCACTAAACGATCAGCTACCAGACGTGCAGTCGATCCTTGGCCATCATTTACTAAGTGTACTAACTCCTTAGTCTTAAGTAAATTGTGATGCACACAGCAAACGCTGATTGCTCTGACGCATTGACTTGGGCCTCCTGCGTGCTCGCCTCCTGAACTGTCTTATGCATGTCTTGACATATATTTATTGAACCTTGCAGTGCTCCACTTGCCATCCGAAATATTCTGTAGTGCCCATGTGCTCGGAACAGCCCTATCAGTAGAACAATACGCCACTTACGCTATTATAGCTGATAACCCCAGCACGGAATCTGATAGTACCTGCAAAGTGACCACAATTCAAAAGCGTGTTAAGACAAACCGCATGCATTGTTCAGACCCGAAGACTGGATTAGAGGATGTTATATTGTACTGACTGCATTTAGGATTTCGTTCTCCCACTGGTTGAATTCATGTATGTTCGCGCGAAAACGTTTCTCTCGGCACGACACGTCAAACAAAGGCACATTCTCAAAAAGGTGAAGTGCAACGGGCCAAATATCTTCACGTCTACAAAACAAAGGTCCACATTAAGAGTAGGTAAAAGAAGAATGTACACGTAGAACATCGTGAGTTGGTTCCTCTGCTGGTGGATCACTGCTCTCAACTGACAAATATTTGAAGCGCAACTCCCACTTTTTTCATTACCGACGGCTCTGTTTCCTATGTATGTCATAGTTGAAGCAAAAATATAGCAAAAACATTTGTAACGGCTGCCTGATCGCCACGATGGCTTTTCTTTCACGTTATATCTTGAGTAATGTATAGGTTTCTCTATTCGCGTAAGATCGCAACATAACAAGTCGCCAAGTGCAAAAAAACAAAACAAAAACTGTACAACACCTATCGAAACAGGGCAAGATGTCGAGGAGCCGGCATTGCAGAAGTCCCAGGCCAGCACATTTTGTCATTCCATGACAACGGCAAATAAGTTATTCAACAGCACAAATGTTTGTCTCAGAGTGCAAACAACTTAATGGAGAAAGTAATAGTAGGACAAACGTCGAATTTTCGGGAAAATTGCAATTTTTAAAGCTTTACAACATCACATCTACGAGACCGTGCCTTCTGGCGACACGAAAATTAAACAGACGTGTTCAGTGCCTGATTCAGAATGGGATGCATTTGTTTATGTCTTTTGAGCATACATTTATGATATATGGCTCTGTCAATGAGGCAATGTCGGCGCAGCGCGCGTGTGCCGCGGCATCAGGGCCGCCCACCGCGCGCACCAGCCGCAGATAGCCGTGCAGTGTTGCTAAATTAAATCGCCGCTGCTCCAAAGCTAGAAAAGCTAGACACGCATTTTTGGTGTCAAAACACACACAATGTATGTCCCATAGGCCTCCGAAGGTGTCGGTCATTTCGCTCAGCATGCCTCAAGGGTACCCTCAAAAACCTTAATTAGGGGTTGTATCACCCCCCCCCCCCCTAATATCAGAGCGAGTGCCAAGGTGTTCACCATTAATGCAGAGCCGAGTGTCAACTGTCCCTGTTTGCTTCGAGTTTCAGGAAAGATTCATTTTGGATCTCACCAACTGGCCTGACTGACGGAAACCCAAAGTTAAGTTAAAAAAGCAAAAAACCACCCTTGGTAGAGCCGGGCAGCCTTCCTCTCTCCAATGCAATGATAGCGGCGGGCATGTCGGGTGACAATGCAAAACATTGCTGCCGAAAGTGTCCTTTCCCCGATGAGTGTAGTTATATTTCCAGAAGACGCTATGCAGGTGCTTTACGTATACGTAACTTTTACTGGGATGAACACATTACGGTTATACCTAACATGCTTAAATAACTGTGAGCTGCGGAAACTGTGAATTTTTTGCTAGAAATGTGGTTCCTGGCCACGTTATCCGCGGATCCAAGTCTTTCGGTTCCATTCAAAAGTCACACAAAGAAGGAGATTCGTTTTCACCACAGCACAAATGTATTTTCTTTGAGGCACCAACAAAGCACGATGAACCAGGGACATATGGATGGGGTCGATACTCATCACATATAGAACAATGACGCAGACAAATGACAACGGAGCACCGCCACGACGATGAAGCGCGGCCGAGACTGACTCGACATCGAGTCCTACCGGCTGGTGCATTTCTCCTCACTGTGGACGACCGTCTCTGCAGGCCCAGAAGGGTAACTCGGCTTTGGACACTTTAGTGGACAGCGGCGCGAGCCAGAGCCTCGGCGTGCGCGGCGAAGTGGGCCGACTTGGCGGCGGCCACCTCGGGCGTGTCGGCCACGTAACCCGGGCCGGCCGGGCCCACCGGCAGGTTGGTGCCCGCCACGCGGAAGCCCAGCGCGTCCGAGACGTAGTCCACATTCTGCGGCAGGCCGTAGGAGTCCACATAGCTGTAGGAGCCGCGCACCACGCCGTCGGCCGTCTTCACCTCGTTCTTGGCCGAGTTGATGTCGGCGTAGCCGTAGTTGTACTGACCCAGCTCGTCCTGCGAGTGGTGCTGCGCGCTACTAGCTACAGGCGCGGCATAGGCGGTGGCCACAGGCGCGGCATAGGTGGTGGCCAAACGCGTGGTGTAAGCGGCAGCGGCAGGCGCAGCGTAGGTGGCAGCCACAGGGGCGGCGTAAGCAGCAGCCACGGGGGCGGCGTACGTGGCAGCCAGGGGAGCGACGCCGTACGAGCCGTATCTGGCGTAGGCGGGCGCCGCCGCAGTGAAGCCGTAGCTGAATCGAGCTCCGACGGCAGGTGCCACGTAGGAGGCACGCGCGGCCACGATCAGCGCACACACAATCTGAAACAGCAGCAGAGGCGGATATCGGCGAATCGGCACCAGCAAGCGCTTTCGCCCAAAGTAAATAGCGTGAACGAAGCAGTGTAGCTAGTGGGCACGTATACGAATATGTTTAAGAGGTAACGCAGTGACAACGTGCCTTGTGGATAAGGTACTTTTACACATTTGGTGCGGAGCGTCAGCTATGTCTGAATGTTCTTAGAAGGGCTTTACCGTCCTCAAAAACTAGTTAGTGACTACAAAACTACAAAACCTAGTAACAAGTGCACGGATTAATTTGAACCAATCATGTGTTATCAAATGATGTCGATTAGGCCAATGGCAGGTTTTGTAAGTTGCGTGGGTTTTAATTGCAGTACCACATCTCTGAACTGTCTAAGTCTTGTAAAGCTGCCTTGTGTAGAACCGCCTCACAGGTGCTGGCGTATCGTCGCCCGGCATGACGGCGGTGTACGGTCTGATCGCTCCCACTCACCAGAGCCTGCATGGTGTCTGACAGAGGAGGTCTTGCCGTGGGGAGTGGCTGCTGTCGGCGCCGGCGCCGTCTTTATAGTGCGGCCGGGCCGGCCTCGCCCGTGTCTGGCCCTGGCTGACACACGCAATACACGTGCTCTCATTACAAGGCAGAGGCAATTTGCCATGCCATCCTTTTGAACAAAATGGAGCGGACAAGAACATCATTCAGCTTGACCTGGTGTAAACGCGTGTCACATTACTTAACAGCAAGTAAAAGTGGATTTGAGTCATGATTATAAATGCCATGTGAACGTACCATAAGTGGTGGCGAAATCTACGCATATTGTGAACTGATTTTGACAAATCTTACGCTGTGATTCCCACTGTTGTGGCATAAATGGTTAAGTGGCTATCCATGAAACGTCTACCCGACGCGCGGTCTCACCTTAGTCATCGTTGACAAGCTGTATCAATTATTTAGACCCAATTAATTTTGACACCCACAGCAGACCCTGTCCGCTCTGACGTATAAACTGGAGCCCCCTGCGTCCTTGCCTCCCGAATTGCTTCGTGAATGTCTGAACGGATATTTATTGAAAGTCACATGCTTCCCTCGCCATCCGGAATATCCTGAAGTGCCCATGTACTCAGAACTGCCATACCACTAGAACCATACTTGACTTGCTCTACTACAACTAGTAACACCAACACTGAATTTGATAGCACTTGCAGAGTAATACACTATTGAAAATTGTGTTAAGAAGAAACACATGCCTCTTTGAAAGCTGAAGGCTGGATTCCAGGATGTTATATGGTGATGACTGCATCTAAGATGTGGTGTCTGCATTCGTTGATTTCAAACCTTTCACGCGAGAGCATTTCTTACAGCACGCTACGTCATACAGAAACACATCATCAAAAAGCTTGAGTGCAACGGCAAAAGTCTTGCCAAAAAACTTGAGTGCAACGGCAAAAAAGCTTGCGTAGCCTTGACACCTTGAGACTGAATGCAAGTAGAATATACACGCAGAGCATCGTGACTCAGGCTCTCTGCTGGTGAACCACAGCTCTATGCTGACGAACGTTGGAAACACGTTTGATTTTATCTTAATTGCCAGCGATTTTGTGTCATACTCATGTCATGTTTCATAGATAACTACCACAAAATACTTTCTACAGTCAGGTGATTGTGACGACTGGCTTTCCTATAGTGTTATAGCTTGGCCAATGTATAGTTTTCCCTATTCGAGTGAGATCGCAACGTGAAAAGTCGTCCATTGCCAAAAGGAAAGCTGCACAGCACGTATCGAAACGGAGCAACATGTCGAAGAGCCGGTGTTGCAAAAGGTTCAGACCATCACATTTTGACATGCGATGATAACGCCAGCAAAGTTATTCAACACTACATTTGTTCGTCCAAGAAGACAAACAATTACGTGGAGAAATGAACCCTCGCCCTGGTTCACCATTTTGCATAACACGGACTCTTAGGGGGATAAGAGGTTATGCGTCACCACCCTGGCGATTCCAAACTAATGAAAATATGTTTCATAAAAATGTCAGTGGATCTTTTTTAACGAGATCTCGCTCTTGTTGCCAGTTCTTCTGGTGTTAAGTTAATGAATGATTCCAATATGGCAAATCAAAGGCCGAGTTTGGGGGAAAATCGCAATTTTTAAGCATTCACAACCTCAAACCTACGAAACCGTGCCTTTTGGCGACACGTAACTGATGCGGACATGTTCTGTGTTCGATTCTGAATGGAATTGATGCATATTTTTTTGTCTTTACAGCATGCATCTATAATATATGGATCTTTCGATGTAATAATGTTGGCGTGCTGCGTGCGCACCGCGTCATCGTCGGTTGCCGCCCGCTGCCCGCGCCAGCCGTCGATCGCCGTGCAGTGCCCGTTAAAAACCACCGTTGCTCCGAAACCAGAATAGCTAGCAACACGTTTTTGGTGTCCGAACGCGCGCAATGCAGGTCACATAGGCTTCTGAAAATGTAGGTCCTTTTGCTCAGCATGACTGAAAGATACCTCAATGAAGCGTTAAAAACGTCGGGAGAGTTTGCATTATCCCCCCCCCCCCTCTACCAGGGCGAGGGTTAAAGCGTGCTACCATTCATGCGGAGCAGAATGTGAACTGTCAGTCTTTGCTTTTGCTTTAGGAAGGATTGAAATCGAACGACAGCAAGTGGAGCGCAAATTAATACCCAGACTAATTGTACATTAAAGGCCCTGTAGGCGAGTTTAGCGCTGATAGGTGACCCAGAAAAGCACAGGCACTAACACTCACTTGTTAGGGCCTATTCCCGGTTTTGAGGTGTCGTGGGTGGTCTTTGGTACTGCACTGCTTCCTGCACTTAAAACCGGCCTGACTGACGGAAGAAACTTAAAGTCAAGTAATAAAAAAACATCAACCGCTGGTAGAAAAACAACATGATACAGATGATACAGCAGAGTAAGCCCTCTCTCTTCAATGCAAGAATAGCGGCAGATACGTTTGATGGCAATAAAAACGTCGACAAAGATAGCCTTTCCCGGAGGAGTGTAGTTGTTTTTCCAAACGCATTTTATAGGCGTTTCGTGTGTGCATAACTTTAGTTGCAACGACCGTAATGCGATTATACCTAGAGTGCTTTAATTGCTGTGAGCTGATGTACATATGAAGTTATGAAATAGAAGTACGTCAGTTGTTAAGTGCATTCGCGAGGAACAATGCGCACGTAGATAAAGCAGTATCATCAACCCTGTTTCTGGAATAAAACCAGGGAAATAAAGATATAGATTCGCCGATATTTGAGCAACATGCTTTTATCAAAACGAGTAGAAGAAGTGAAGTGACTTCTGCAATTCGTGTCGATAAAGCCGTGTTGCCGAAATAGGAATGGATCTATATTCCCATTCTCCTGGTGTTTCTTTAAGGAATCAGGATATCACTAATACCTTAACCCGAAATGTGATTAATAATGTCATTATCTGCAGATCAAAGCCTTTCGTCTTCATTCATATGTTACAAAAAGAACAAGATTCGTTTTCACCACAGCACAAATGTATTTTCGTTGAGGTACCAACAAAGCACGATGAACCAGGGACATATCGATGGGGTCGATACTCATCACATATAGAACAATGACGCAGACAAATGACAACGAAGCACCGCCACGCCCATGAAACGCGACCGAAACTGACTCGACATCGAGTCCTATCGACTGGTGCAGTTCTCTTCACGGTGGGCGACCGTCTCTGCAGGCCCAGAAGGGTAACTTGGCTTTGGACATTTCAGTGGACGGCGGCGCGAGCCAGAGCCTCGGCGTGCGCGGCGAAGTGGGCCGACTTGGCGGCGGCCACCTCGGGCGTGTCGGCCACGTGACCCGGGCCGGCCGGGCCCACCGGCAGGTTGGTGCCCGCCACGCGGAAGCCCAGCGCGTCAGAGACGTAGTCGACCTTCTGCGGCAGGCCGTAGGCGTCCACGTAGCTGTAGGAGCCGCGCACCACCCCGTCGGCCGTCTTCACCTCGTTCTTGGCCGAGTTGATGTCGGCGTAGCCGTAGTTGTACTGACCCAGCTCGTCCTGCGAGTGGTGCTGCGCGCTGCTAGCCACAGGCGCGGCATAAGCCGTGGCTACAGGTGCCGCATAGGCGGTGGCCACAGGCACGGCGTAAGCGGCAGCGGCAGGCGCAGCGTAGGTAGCAGCCACAGGGGCGGCGTAGGTAGCAGCCACGGGGGCGGCGTAGGTAGCAGCCACAGGGGCGGTGTAGGCAGCAGCCACGGGGGCGGCGTAGCCAGCAGCCACGGGGGCGGCGTAGCCAGCAGCCAGGGGAGCGACGCCGTACGAGCCGTATCTGGCGTAGGCGGGAGCGGCCGCAGTGAAGCCGTAGCTGAATCGAGCTCCGACGGCAGGTGCCACGTAGGAGGCACGCGCGGCCACGATCAGCGCACACACAATCTGAAACAGCAGCAGATACGAATATTGGCAAATTGGCATCAGAAAACGCCTTTACCAAAAAGCAAATGGCGGGAACTAAGCAGAGAAATCAGTAGACGTGTAAGTGAATGTATTCAAGAAGTAGCGTAGCGACAATGTCCCTTGTGGATAAGATGTTTCTGCACATTCAACGTGAAGAGTCAACAAGTTTGGATGTTCTTAAAAGAGCTTCATATGCGTCTGGAATTAGTTTACACGGATTGCTTTGAACCAATGATGTGCCATAAACTGATGCTGGATTAGGCAAATGAAAGGCTTTTCAGGTTTTGTGCATTGCACTAGGTCTTAATTGCGATCTGACAGATATGAACAGCTTACTTTTGCATGTTTGGCGCGGAGCGTCAACTAAGTTTGAATGTTCTTAAAAGCAGTTAACATGCATCTAGAATTAGTCTACACGGATTGCTTCAAGTCAACCATGCAGTGTCAAATTATGCTGGATTAGGCATATAAAAGGCTTTGAAGGTTTTGTAAATTGCACGAGTGCTAATTGTGATGCCACAAATACGAACAACTTAAGCCCTCCAACGATGTTTTGCATAGCACGGCCTTACAGTTGCTGGCGCATTGTCACCCGGCATGACGGCAGTGTGCGGTCTGATCGCTCCCACTCACCAGGGCCCGCATGATGTCTGACAGAGGAGGTCTTGCCGTGAGGAGTGGCTGCTGTCGGCGCCGGCGCCGTCTTTATAGTGGGGCCAGGGCCGGCCTCGCCCGTGTCTGGCCCTGGTTGACACACGCAATACACGTGCTCTCATTACAATGCTATGGTCATTTGTACTGCAAGTTTTTTAAACAAACTGGAGCGAACAGGAGCATCATTCAGCTTGACATGATGTTAGTGCGCATCATATGGACCAACAACAAATCGAAGTGTTTTAACTCATTATTACGATGTCATGTGGCCATACCACTAAGTTGTGCGGAAAGTTATGTATCATGCGGCCAGGTTTGGAGAAATGTTAGGCTGTTATTCCCGTTGTTGTGGAATAAATCGTATAGTGGCTGGCTATGAAATAGCCACTAAGTGATCATCTATCAGACGCGCAGTCAAACCTTGGCCATCATTGACCAACTGTACTAACTCCTCAGTCTTAAGTAAATTGTGATGCCCACAGAAAACGCTGCTTGCTCTGATGCACTGACTTAGGCCTCCTGCGTCCCTGCCTCCTTAATTGTCTTATGCATGTCTTGACATATATTTATTGAACCTTGCAGTGCTTCACTTGCCATCCAACATATTTTGTACAGTACATGTGCTCAGAACTGCCCTATCAGCAGAACAATACGCCATTTACGCCATTATAGCTCATAACCCCAGCACGGAATCCGATGGTACTAGAAGAGTGATACACTTTTGAAAGGCGTGTTGAGACAAATGGCATGCCTTTTTTCGGAACCGAACGCTGCGTTAGAGGATGTTATATTGTAATGATTGCATTTAGGATTTCGTGCTCGCACTCTTTGATTTCATGTATGTCCACGCGGAAAAAAAATTTCGGAACGCTGCGCCATAAAAAAGCAAACGACAAATTAAGTTATTCAACGGCCCAGTTGTTTGCCTCAGAGGGCAGACAATTTAATGGAGAAGGTTATCGCAGGCTAAACGTCGATTTTTCAGGAACATTACTAATTTTAAGGCTTTACAACATCACATCTCCAAGATCATGCCTTCTGGCGACACGAAACTTAAACAGGCGTGTTCCGTCTTCGATTCTGAATGGGATGCTTTTATTTAGGTCTTTTGAGCACACACTAATAATATATGGCTCTGTCAATGAAGCAATGTTGGCCTACCGCGCGCGTGCCGCGGCATCATCGAGTGCCGCCCGCCGCGCGCACCAGCCGTAGATCGCCGTGCAGTGTTGCTAGAGTAGACCGCCGCTGCACCGCAACTAAAAAAAACAAAACAGAAACACATTTTCGGTGTTAAAACCTATGCAGTGCATGTCCCATAGGCTACCAAAGATGTAGGTCATTTATTCGGCATGCCTGAAGGGTATCCTCAAAAAACTTAATTTGGGGTTGTGTCACCCCCCTCCCCTTCATATCAGAGCGAGTGTTAAGGTGGACCACCATTAATGCAGACCCGAGTGTCAACTGTCCATCTTTGCTTCGAGACAGCAGATGGCCTCATCAGACCGACAGAAACTCAAAGTTAAGTTAAAAAGGCAAAAACAGCCGTTGGTAGAATAACAGCATAGTACGGATAAAACCGCCGGGCAACCTTCTTCTCTCCAGTGCAATGATAGCGGCGGGCATGCCGGGTGACAACGCGAAACAATGCTGCCGAAATTGTTCTTTCCCCGATGAGTGTAGTTGTATTTCCAGAAGACGCTATGCAGGTGCTTTACGTGTACATAACTTTTGCTGGGATGAACACATTACGGTTATAGCTAACATGCTTAACTTACCGTGAGCTGCGGTAACTGTGAATTTTTAGCTAGAAATGTGGTTCATGGCCCACGTTATCCGCAGATCCAAGTCTTTCGGCTCCATTCAAAAGTCACACAAAGAAGGAGATTGGTTTTCGCCACAGCACAAATGTATTTTCTCTGAGGCACCAACAAAGCACGATAAACCAGGGACATATCGATGGGGTCGATACTCATCACATATAGAACAATGACGCAGACAAATGACGAAGCACCGCCGCGCCGATGAAACGCGACCGAGACTGACTCGACATCGAGTCCTATCGGCTGGTGCAGTTCTCCTCACGGTGGGCCACCGTCTCTGCAGGCCCAGAACGGTAACTTGGCTTTGGACACTTTAGTGGACAGCGGCGCGAGCCAGAGCCTCGGCGTGCGCAGCGAAGTGGGCCGACTTGGCGGCGGCCACCTCGGGCGTGTCGGCCACGTGACCCGGGCCGGCCGGGCCCACCGGCAGGTTGGTGCCCGCCACGCGGAAGCCCAGCGCGTCAGAGACGTAGTCGACCTTCTGCGGCAGGCCGTAGGCGTCCACGTAGCTGTAGGAGCCGCGCACCACGCCGTCAGCCGTCTTCACCTCGTTCTTGGCCGAGTTGATGTCGGCGTAGCCGTAGTTGTACTGACCCAGCTCGTCCTGCGAGTGGTGCTGCGCGCTGCTAGCCACAGGCGCGGCATAGGCGGTGGCGACAGGTGCCGCATAGGCGGTGGCCACAGGCGCGGCGTAAGCGGCAGCGGCAGGCGCAGCGTAGGTAGCAGCCACGGGGGCGGCGTAGGCAGCAGCCACAGGGGCGGCGTAGGCAGCAGCCACGGGGGCAGCGTAGCCGGCAGCCAGGGGAGCGACGCCGTACGAGCCGTATCTGGCGTAGGCGGGCGCGGCGGCAGTGAAGCCGTAGCTGAATCGAGCTCCGACGGCAGGTGCCACGTAAGAGGCACGCGCGGCCACGATCAGCGCACACACAATCTGAAACAGCAGCAGAGGCGGATGTTTCATGATGATTGCTTGCATGTTGGCGAATCGGCACGAGTGAGCGACTATACGCAAGAATATAGCGTAAAGTAAGTTGTGGTACTAGCCAATGCCTAAAAATCTAGCTGTGAACATTCGCGCAGCGATATTGCGCGATTATGGCTTACGAATCACCCCGGACTTGGCTAGCAGCAGCGATTAACTGTTAACATTTTAACGGTGGTCTGGATGGGCTCCTTTGAGCTGACGAAATATGCTTAAAGAAATAGCGTACTCATTGCTTCTTATTGGGCTACGGCTGGCACTTATTTTCTTGTAATGGTGTATCCCACATGTAGCTGTTGATTCCGATCTCATATCATGTATCACTTTGAATTATGCATTATGGTGTTGCGTCGTGCCACCTCGCGATTGCTTGAATGCCGTCACCCGCCCTTTCCTCGGCTTGCCGCCTGCTCTTACTCACCAGGGCCTGCATGATGTCTGGCAGAGGAGGTCTTGCCGTGAGGAGTGGCTGCTGTCGGCGCCGGCGCCGTCTTTATAGTGCGGCCGGGGCCGGCCTCGCCCGGGTCCGGCCCTGGCTGCCGCAGCGGGCGGGGTGGCCAGCAGCAGCGGCGGGGTTCAGGCCCGGACCGTCAACAGTGACGCAGCAGCGGCGCCGGCGCGCTCACGCCCAGAGCGGTCCCGGCCTTCAGGCCCTAATGGCGCTGGGATCATGCTGGGGTTGCTTGACAAGGCCCATTGGGCGCGAGCAGGATGTGAAGGAACACGCTTTCCGCCTCGCTGCTCGCGACAGATACTGAATGTGAGCACTGGGTGGTAATACGCGGTTATGTTATTGGGCAATATAACCCAGTGCGCTTGAATGCTCTAGTGTACTAGCCAAGTGTGCACGCTGGGCCCGTTGAGCACTGTGCCGCGGAGAATTGCTCAGGAATGGCCCTTTACGGACTGCTAATGCTTGCTTGGCTCTCTGAAGTACCTTATTAATGCATGTCTTGTTTTTTCAGTTCTATTAGTCTATCTATTTATCTATCTGTCTATCACGCTGCTCTACTCGAAACTATAACTTAAGATGTCTTACACCGTAGCAATATCTTCTAAACATTTTTTCACATGACAAAGCCGTATTTTAACATGAGCTTGGATTTCGGGATAAATTTGAGTGTCGAAGGATTTTCAAAAGTGACTTCCAAACATTGTGCTGCTGTAAAGACTCGAACAACCGACATTTTGGTGTAAAAACAGATATCCTTCTTAAGGTCGCTGACTTATAGCAAGTGAAAGTCGGACATTGCCTTCAGCAAAGGCATTTCCGAGGATATCGCTCAATACTTTGTGGCAGCGAATTGTTTAGCGAAGTCCTACAAGCCTTAGGTGGATCCTTAAACGATTACTTATTGACATTTGGCTCACGACTTATCCCATTTGCCTTGGATCAGGTGGGAACGTCGGATCAAGTGTGAGACCAAGCCGTGTTTTACTGGAAAGCTTACATTATGGCAAAATTTTCCGATGATGATGACGTCAATAAATTCCGTGTGATTGCTTAATAGGGATGACCTCGATGATTCTTTTGCTCTGATGAGCATGTCACCTTAGGCAGCGCTTGGTGCAGATTTTAATTCAATGTGCAAATATTCTCGAGGGTTAATAATCAGGTAAAATCAGGTAGAATAATCAGATAGAATTAGGTAAAATAATCAGGTAAAATCAGGTAAAATAATCAGGTAAAATCAGGTAAAATAATCAGGTAAAATCAGGTAAAATAATCAGGTGAAATCAGGTAAAATAATCAGGTGAAATCAGGGTTTATCTTTACAAGATGAATATGCTCAGTAGGTTGCTATGAACAACAGGGACATGTTGCTAATAAGAAATATGCAAAAGAGGTGTGTAGGTTAAAGATGGTTGTGTGAGGAAGTCTTAAGGTACTTCGGACACTTAACTTGAGCTTGACCTTGTCTGATCTTACGTGACCTCAAGGTCACAGCCTAGGTACTATGCTCAGATTGTGACCTGAATGTCTAGGTTGTGACCTTCAGGTCACAACCTAGGTCTTGTTCAGTTTTTTCAGCAAGCATTCAGCTTCAACAAGTCGCCAAGGCGCCAGCAAGCATTCATAGCGTCAGGATCAAAGAAGGTGAGTTTATGGAGCTTTCCGCGGTCACCATACACCCAATAACATCAGCTTTTTGCATGCGGTAACGACCGGAGAGGCGTGGGGCGACATGGACTCGCGACTCACTAGAGAGCATGTGTTCTTGAATGCTTCGCAGAGCTTGTAGAGCATGTAGTTTTAATTGGGCTGGCCTCGCTGGTACGTGGTTAATGGAATGACAGACAACTGCTGTTGTCTTTTGGCGCTCTTATGTGAACGCTTCCGAACGCTTTGACTCGCGACCCCAGCCGCCGTTGCTGGGCAACGACGAGCCAACCAACATTTAGAACACTTCCCGATGTTTCTCCGGAGTGGTACGGTAAGCTCGAGAAGATCTTCTTTGTTGTCTGCGTCATCTTCACGACGGACACAGCTCTCGATGAACGCTATGCAGGCGGCTTTCAGAGCCATCGTCATCATCAGCGGTGGCGCTTTCCACCCCTGCACTAACTGCTTCTTCTTCTCCTGACTATTGCGTGTTGTGTCTCGGATGTCTCCGACTTTGACCCCCTGCTTCGATTTCCTGTTGTGATAGACTGCACCTTGCTTGGAACCTTTAGAATTCTCCCTGCACTGTCTGCAGTGTCTGCTCAACCCCAGCCTCGAGTTCTACTGCATATTGATAGTTGTACTCGTTTCGTTGCTTTGCCCCCCGCTTATCCACAAATCTCGTACTGTTTGCGTCGGTGTCCACTGAGAGCAGGTCCGCTTAAGAGCAGGTTAGACGGGGGGGAGGGGGGGGGGATCCGTCTGACTCGTGTGGCTTATCTACGTAGAGGAAGAACGGGGCAATGATGACCCACTGGCCCAAATGCGGTCTATTCACCATTTTATTCAGGTCGCCGTCCAACCTCTCGCACAGAATCTCTACTACTTGCGCGGCAGTAGGTAATCAACAACTGGTGAATGCGCGGTATTTGCAACGCAGTCTCCGTACAGTCTGAAGCGTAGCCAAACTCAAACCCCACAGGATCTCCTCTGTGATCCCCTGCCTGCCATGCATGCATTTTAACGCTTTCGCCAATTTGTGTAGCATTCAAAGAAAGACCTTAGAGTTTACAATGCAATTTTTAGCACAGTTCTTTAAAATATCACAACATATTAAAATGACCGTGATAATTTTGGAATACCAGCTGTAGCTCAATTCGGAGTACCAGAATGATGAGCACTGTTATTCTGCTTGATACTGTTCCATTCAACCCAAGCATGACTTTCCCTTTCATCGTACTAAGCATAGATGTACAGGGTAGATACGACAACTGAATGGAGTGGTCCGGCTGCTGGTACGTAAGCCGACCGCCATATTGGAGTAGTCAAGAAACATAGATTCGCTCTGACAGAGCCCTTGCAACGCATGGGGCGAGGCTGCTCTGAGAGGTCACATAAGGAAAAATTAAAGCTGGAACCAATTTTGAAAGCATTTAACTAAATAAGGTGATAAATCAACGATCCTGAAACATTCATTTATCGCATGTCACTAATCAATGAGTTGCCCGCATGGAGAAATCGCCGCCACTGACCGTAGCCTGCGCGAACGGTTTGCTGTGCTTGCACCGAGCGGTGGTGGGACCGCTATCTTCCTGTCTACCTGACGCTTTAGAACTCCGCTGGGGTCGGCTGCAGCCGTACCCGATATGGCACCGGTGACACCCGTTCGGAAAGTCTCTGGACTGTGGGCTGGTGCCGACCACCGCGGCGCCGGGGCTGGCCTGGATAGTTCCGCCGCGCTTGCGCGTTCGTGGGACAGGTGCCGTAAGTGTCACCCGCCGTTGTACCGGATTCCGTGGTGGACGTCCAGTGGCGCAATATGTGATGCTCCCGTAAGGGAGACGTCGGCACGCGCGGCGCCGCGGTAATGCTGCCGGTGTCCACGGGTCGGCAGCCGCGCGTGTGACGTCGACGTACAATTCGCCGCCGAATCTGCATCGTGCTGGGCGCGACGTCGCCCTCCGCTGCCTTTCCCAGTCCCACGGCCTTCACAGAGAAGGAAGAGCATAAGTACTTGCCACGCTCAGACATATTGGGCGCATGAGTAGGCACCCGGCCGTTTCAGGGTCTGGTTGCCCAGTTTCTAATGCCTGAAATTATTACTAATGAGCACTCAGACTAGCTAGCTACTTACAAATCAATGATCAACACAACACAGCACACAATGATCAACACAGGTCACAACACAGGAATAATACATCCGACAACACAAATCCACATTTCAACTATCTGACAATGTCATGGTGACTTGCACTCTAAATGCACATACAAACTACCTGGCAATACCGTGAGATCCGTGGTATATCTATTTCATACTACCGCAACACTGCTTAATTCAGCATATTCATCAATGGCCGATGATGTAGCTGCAGTGGATCTATTGCCCTTCAAAGAGTAGTCTTAACGAACTCTGCACAACGCCTGACTAGCTCCCAGGTAAGCGCGAACCGCCGACCAGACAGCTTCGGGCGCCACATACGTCTTCCAAGAAGTATACCAAGGATTTGAAACCGTTTTTTGGTGAACTGACTGCGATAATTTTACTAAATTTCGAACAATCATAAAGCTAACTGGTATACAACATTGATGAAACGTCGCACACAAGTTTATATACCCCAATATCGCACATTAAAGCAGCTATTTCTTCCCACGAAATCTCATATCACATGCAACAGTAGAACAAACAGATAGCAGGAATAGGCCGGACGAGCCTGACGATGAGAAAGGTGTGGAAATTGTAGGGAAGGCTTCCCGCTAGATATGCCACCGAGCAGATGAAGACATGATATCTGCACCTGCAGCTGACCTAATGTCCTATTAACATCACTGCTTTGTGAATTTTTGTCGGATCCCGTTCCTCTGCAGGCGTGCGGTGTGCAGCTTCGCCTGTTCGCCTTCGCCTGAAGACACACCCGTCGGCAGGAGGCCACTAGCATCCTGATCGGCTCGGTGTGGTGGTTTCCCAAACCAGGAGCCACCCCGCGGAGTTCCCAGCGGGTGGCGGCCGGGATCGCACACGCCCTCGATATCGATGCGGCACACCGCCGCCCTCTCCAGCATCCGCCAGGGCATTGCATGGTAAGCCGCGTCCATCTGCACAATGTTGCGGCGGGGCTCCGCTTTGGGACTCAGGATGACCTCTTAAGAGCTCTTGCGGCGGGATTCATCAGTCTAATGCGTTTTTTTTCAGCCACAGAGGGTGACAAGGATGTGAGGTCGTCGGACTCCTGACGGCTCAGCAGCGTTTATTGCTGGTGGCGCAGCCTGCTCTGTCCAGTGCCCTTCGGGCGACGAACACGGTGATTTAGCAGACGGCATTGCCGACCACGAAGGACAGCCCCGGCCGGTAGTCATAATCGTCCAGGATGTCGGCCACT